GTGAAAACAGCCTTTGAATTGAATTTGGGTCTTTCTGTGGGCTGGTGGTCGGCAGCACAGTGCTCCCTGGTGGTCACAGGAGAACAGAAGTGCCAGCATTCCCTGTTGCTGTATGGAGTAAGAGCACAATAGACCTTGGGGCGGGGGGTGCTTAGTTGCCATTTGAGAGGTATGAAGGGACTATATCCTGATGACCTCATCTAAGCCAAGAACCATGTGCATTCCCAAGTCCCTGACATCTTCCGGGAGGCTCTGATCGCCATCTGAGTTATTATGTTTCTAGTTGGGGGTTATGAGGCCAAACACTGAGTTGGTGAGTGCTGAGCTGTTGCTTTGAGGGGGAGAAAGCAAGGGCCCAGTGAGTTTCTGGTTATTCTTTGGGAGGGACATGTTGGGTCTTGTGAATACCAAGCACTCACTCTCCTGTGAGCTACAGCATCTCCACACATGGCAGTAGTTTTGTGGTTAAGATGCTATTTGTTTTCTCTGGGTTCATTTTGTCAGCATCCTTCTAAAACAAACTGACATCAACACTGAAGATTTAATTTCCCACATAATTGTTGTCACAATATAATTCTTACTGGGTTTTTAATTAATTTTTCATCTCTGCCCTAACTTTTATTTATTCTTTCAGTCACACAATGAGATGAAAGCCTTAAAATAAAAACATACACACATCACCCTGGGAAGCATGTGTTTGGTTTCTTTTCTCACACACATTTTGGTTCATGTTTTCTTCTAAACCAAATTCTAAAGTGATGCTGAAGAGACAGCCCAGCGGTTAAGAACATATAGTGTTCTTGCAGAGGACCCGAGTTAAGTTCCTAGCACCCACATCAGGTAGTTCACAAACACTTATAACTCCAACTCTATGAACTTGAACACACACCCCTCACACACATATACCACATAGTAACAATTTTCAAAGAATAAAAATATTTTGAAATATTTTAAAGTATATATCTGAAAGTTATCCTTGCATATATTTGTGTGATATAAACTAAAATCAGTTTTTTTCCCAGTGCTGAAGGTAAAACCCTTGCATACACTACGTGGGCACTCCACCACTAAGTTACTTCCCCAGTCCCCTAGGGTCTCACCATCAGCCCCACCTGGCCTGAAATGTCTGAACCTCCTGGCTCAGCCTCCTGAGTTCTGGAGTACAGGCTTGAGGCACCATGCCCAGGGGCTAATGTTATGATTTTCAAAAAAACATAAGATGATTAAATTGAGATAATTAACCCATCTATCACATCAAACATTTGACATTTTATGGGAAGAATATTGGGGCTTATTTTCTTAGCACCACTAGAATGTATGGCACTGGAGGCTGGCAAGATGGCTCAGCAGGTGAAGGATTCCTGCAAGTTGTCATTGGCCCTCCGCACACACACCTAGGCACATGCCTGCATACACTAAATAAATACATGTAAACATGTTAAAGCAATGTATGGCACTCAACTATTATTCACTGGGCAGAGCAGGAGATATAAAAATCAAATTTATTCTTCCTGTGTAACAGGATTTTGTCCCTTGGATTATTCCCTCTCCAATCCCCCCCCAGCCCCTACCCCTGTCCCGCCTCACTCTCCACCATCATTCTACTCTTGGCCTGTATGATTTCAGCTGCTTTGGAGTATATGTATGTGGAGAACATGTGACATTTGTCTTCAGTGTCTGGCTTACATTGCAACCCTTGATGCAAATGACACAAATCGCTTCCTTTTCAGAGGAACAATATTCCAGCGTGTGAATGGACCACATTTTCTTTATCTGCTCATGTGTTGATGGACATTCAATGTCTATATCTTTTCTACTATGAGTATTGCTGTAATGAAGAATGGTCTGCAAATGTCTCAACATGCCGATTTTGAGTCTGTAGGTAAATACTAAGAAGTGGGAGGTTTGACTCAGATAATAGTTCTATTTTTAGCTTTTTGAAGGAACTTCCATTCAGTGTTTCATGGTGGCTATCCCAATACAATTTTTTTTACTAACAGTGTGGAAACCTTCCATTTTCTCCACATTCTCACCAGCACCTGCCATCTTTCAAATAACATAACAAAACAAGTTTCAGTGGGGAGAACCTGAGGCCATGCAGCCCCCAGTGCTCGTGGGAAGATAACAGGGTGGCCAAAGTGTCAATCAGGCAGCTTTCCTACAAGTTAATCACAGAATTACTATCCGATCCAGGAACTCTACTGCTAAGTGTATACCTCAAAGAACAGAAAACGTGTATTCAAACAAAAACTTGTATAACTGTTTCTGTAGATAACCTTAACAATAGCCAAAAATTGGAACCAGTCCAAATGTCTGTTGCTGAATGAATAAACAGATGTCTACACATAATAAACCATTCATCCATAGAAAGGAATGGAGTCCTGATAGGTGCTAAGACTTGGAAGGACCTTGAAATCATTGCATTAACGAAAGAAGCCAGACACGGTTACTTATCATACAATTCCATGAAATAGCCAGATCTGTAAGAACATAAAAAGCAGATTCATGCTTTCCAGTGCGCAGGGACAGTGGGCACTGATTGCTCAATAAGTATGGGGTTTACTTTTATGATAATAAAAATATCTTGGAAAAAGATACTATATTTTTAGGAAAATGGTTGGATCCAGAAAACATAGCGTGGTAACTCAGACTCAGACAATACTGCCTGCTTTCTCTCATATGTGGATCTTAGCTGTTAATTTATGAGTGTGTTTATGTGGAAGTGAGTGTGGGCAGAGGCCAGGAAACTAGAAAGGAGCCATGGGAGGGGGAGATGGATATTAAGGGACGGGGTATGGAAGATGGTGGAGCAAGCATGATATCAAGATGCAAGGGGAATTCTGAGGCGAAAAGGTACAAAAGCAGTGGGGAGGGGGTTTCGGGAGAGTGGAGAAGGAGGTCAACCAAAACCAAGTATGCTTGAGAATGGCATTGTGGCGCCTATTGCTTTGCATGTTAATTCAAAAATAATGCTTTCAAAAAGCAAAAGATAAAGCCTTGGGTTTAGATTGAGATACGCTTGCAGAAACACTGTGAGCGGGCTAAGACTGTGAAGATTCTTTTTAAAAGTTTTTGTTGCATTTTATGTATTTATCGTGTGTGGGGAAGTCAGAGAACTTGCAGGAAGCAGTTCTTTCTTCTACAGTAGAGGGCCTAGAAGTGAACTCAAGACATCATCAAGCTGAGTGGGAAGTCCTGCTATCAGCTGAGCCATCTTGCTGGCCCCATGTGAAGTCATTTTTAATAGGCTGTCAGTTGCATGTAAGTATGCAGGGGATCAAATGCTGACCACTGGACAGAGGAGGACCGGGGAGCAGTGTTTTAGAAACCCTGGGGCAGTTCCTGTGATGAGCTATCTTTTTATACTGTTCTTGCTTGGTCCAGGTGTCCCTCAAATGCTTGTTTGTTAAAAGGCTTGGTGGTCCTTGGCGTGGAGAGAACGGAAACCTTCAAGAGTGAGAAGCCGAAGATTTTACGCAATGAGTATCTGCAAAATGGAATATGGGGCCCCAATCTTTTTTTCTACCTCTTCTTTTCTGTTTTATTTTTCAGAATCTGTATGTACTTTTCCTTTTTTTTTAATTGATTTTATTGAGTTATACATTTTTCCCTGCTCCCTTCCCTGCCTCTCCCTTCCCCTTCAACCGTCCCCCAAGGTCTCCATGATCCCAATTTACTCAGGAGATCATGTCTTTTTCTACTTCCCATGTAGATTAGATCCATCTTTGTCTCTCTTAGGATCCTCTTTGTTGTCTAGGTTCTCTGGGATTGTAGTTTGTAGGCTGGTTTTCTTTGCTTTATGCTTAAAAAGCACTTATGAGTGAGTACATATGATAGTTGTCTTTCTGGGTCTGGGTTACCTCACTCAATATGATGTTTTCTAGATCCATCTATTTTCCTGCAAATTTCAAGATATCATTTTTTTCTCTGCTGTGTAGTACTCCATTATGTAAATGTACCACATTTTCCTTATCCATTCTTTGGTTGAGGGGCATTTAGGTTGTTTCCAGGTTCTGGCTATGACAAACAATGCTGCTATGAAATTAGTTGAGCACCATGCATAGAACTCAAATCCAAATGGACCAAAGACCTCAACAGAAAACCAACCACACTGAACCTCATAGAAGAAATAAGTGGGAAGTACACTTGGACACATTGACACAGGAGACCACTTCCTAAATATAACCCCAGTAGCACAGACACTGAGAGAAACAATTGATAAATAGGACATCCTAAAACTGTAAAGCAAAGCACATGGTCAATAAGACAAAACGGCAGCCTATAGAATGGGGAAAAATCTTTACCTCCTTTCAGCTGCCATGGGTCCACAGTGTTTCCTCTGTCATGCACACCCACTGTGATATCCTGAGCCACCACAAACCCAAAGCAATAGGGACTGAGACCTCTGAGGAAATAAACCTTTTTTTATATCAGTGTGCATATTTGTATTTAGGTGGGTGTGCATGCATACATGTTAATGTGAGTGCATATAGTGTGTGTGTGTGTGTGTGTGTGTGTGTGTGTGTGTGCAGATGCACATGTGTGTCCATGTGTTTAGGGAGCCAGAGGACAACAGAGTGTCATTGCTCAAACATTGCCCATCTTGTTTTTTGTGACTGGGTCTCTCACTGGCCAGTGTGTCCATGCTGTCTGGAGGGTCAGTGAGCTCCAGGGATCTACCCGTTTCTGCTTCCATGCAGTTGGATCACAAACATGCCACCAAGCCTGTTTTGTTTTTCGAAATGCGAGTTTAGGGATTTGAACTCGGGTCCTCAAGTGCTTTACTGACTGAGATATCTCCCCGGCTCCATCTCTTTTATCTTCATCTATTAATTTATTTCAGGCATTTATGACAGCAATGAGAAGCTAACACATAGGTTCATACTGGTCAGCTCCTGTAGCTCAGGGGGTCAAGGATGACAGTGTCAGTTCAGGATAGAATCAGAAAATGGCAGGCACCCGGGCCATGTCAGAAGATGCCTGGCGTGGGGCCAGCTTACCTGAGCTTGGTCCACGTGCATGATCCCTGTGCCCATCTTTTTTCTAAGCTGCATCTGCTTCTCCAGCTTCCTCCTCTGAGTCTTTTCTATCCACATGTCATCCAAGCTGAAATGGGAGTGTTGAGGGGCCCTCCCGAGCTGTGAAGGGCCCTCTCTGGGGACTTGCTCTGTGGAGACGGAGGGTGGGGCCCACATCACTACGTCAGTGGCAGATGCCAGCCGCTGAGTAGGCTCTGCGTAAGAAGTTCTCTGATCACAGGAAGAACTGGCCTTCTTGTCTGGAGGTTTTTCCAGGGCGCTGTAGCTCTAGAGTGCAGAGGAGATGCCATCAGAGATGGGAGCAAGGGTAAAGCAACTGGGGGTGCAGTTCTACCCCCAGAGTCTCTTAGATATAATACGTTGTTCTGACTTATTTTCAAAGTAAAAATTACAGTGAGGTGCTTCATTCACCGTCATTTTGAAAAGTAGTAAGATGAGACATAAGAATAAATCTTGTTCCTGTTATAATGCATTTCAAACAACAAAGGCTTTTGATTTGACCAATGACATCTGTTAAAGTACCCAATGGACTTGGCATGCTCATTAGAAATTTGTGTGTGTGCGTGCATGTGTGTGTGTGTGTGTATGCTGATCCACACATGCATAGGCATGTGGATGACAGAGGTCAACTTCAGGGGTCATTTCTTAGAAGTGGTCATCTCATTTTCTGATACAAGGCCTATTGCTGGAACGTGGGGCTCACTGATAAATCTGAGCTGTTTGGCCCACAAGTCCACTTCTCCAATGTTGAGATTCATGTGTACGCCATCATGCCTAGCTTTTTGATGGGAGTTCTGGGGACTGAACTCAAGTCCTCACGCTTGTGACAAGAGCACTTTCCCTACTGAGTCGTCTGTGTGTCCCAGAGCTCTTGCTCCAGTAGGACACATTGCAGGCACAGTTCTCACCACCCCACTGCTCTCACTGGCCCAGTTCACAGCTAGCACTGAGGCACCACAGCCACCTCAAGGTAGAACCCGTCCTCAACAGAAGACTAGTAGGACTTTGTGTTCACGTTCCCACTGTCTGTTGGAATCAACCCATGATCACTGGGAGAAGAAACTCTTTTATTCCCATGTTCATAAAAATGAATGCATTAAAATAGTTCAATCAAAAAGTCCAACTATAACTGGAGCTTCCCTACATAGGGGTTTATGCCTTTTCCAGAAGTCATAGATTACCAAATACAAAACCAAGTATCAGATGAAGGCTGCCTCCCCTCAAGTTGTTAGAGGTGTCCAGAGACCTCCAAACAAAACAGACTACAATCAACATAGCTCATTGCTGCCCACGTGATGTTGAGAGTCTATTGCTGAAGATATCACACATGGTGGTCACAGTAGACATGGAAAAGTTAAGTTGGTAGTGACCAGATGGTCTTCCCTACTGACTAGAAGGTGCTACACAGGTTGCCGGGGAGAAGAGACATCAGTGGTCTTATCTGTGAGCTATATGACCGGCAGGCAAAATATGCCCATGGGTCAAACCGAAACACATATGTTACAGGGGTAACCAACTGGTTTCTGATTAGATTTGAGATCCACAGCACAGGAGGAAACATGCTTGGTACCGCACATCTGGCCAGAACCTATGACTGGTGAGTTCTCTGGCTGTTTACTATTGTTATCTTGCTAAATGGACATAGAATCAAACTGTTCTCTAAATGCATATCTCTCTACTGTAGATTAGCGCGGCCCCCGGACCTTATCATATATTTCTCGGTGTCATGGATGGCAGTTAATGCAGAAATATAGCCAGTGAGTGCAGAGAGTGTCAGCGGAGAGTTTAGTTACAAGCAGAACCACACCCCATGGGTCATGGACCATCACAGAAGAGGGTGTAGAGGTTGGGGAGGGCTAGAGACAACCCATGTCTTCTGTACAAGACAGGGCCGTTGTTTTCATGAACTCGTAGCAACTGTGGTTGCCTGCACAGTTCCACCACAGGATCAAGCAGGTCAACACCCTGCTATAGAGCAGGAAGAGGCATCTGAGCCCCGCTCCTGGCTGAGGACCTGTTGACAGTAGATGGCTTACAAGGGAGAGAGAGTTAGTATTCTTTAAGGGCCCCAGACAGGTTGATAACACTCTAGTGGATGGACCTATACCTAGGAGTTTATGAGCAGCACAAACTGGATTCTTTGAATTAAAGAAAAGAAGAAGACTCGAAGTTGGGAGCTATGTGGAGGTTAGGGGAGGATCTGGGAGGAGTTAGAGGAAGGAGGGGGAGGATATGATGAAAATGCATTGTACCAAATTCTCAATGAATTAGTAAAAATGTATCTTAAGTTACATAGAGATTACAGAAAATCTTCAACTATTGCCCTGGAGAGATTCTTAAGAACACTTGCTGCTCTTGCAGAGGTCAAATTTGGTTGTCAGCACCCACATTGGGGGGCTCTCACAACTGTCTTTACTTTCATCTCTGGGGGGGGGGACAATCTTTTATGGGCGCGCACACACACACACACATATACATAATTTAGAACTTTTTAACACCCTCCAATTAACTGCCTCAACTCCAGTTTCTGCAGGATGTTGGGAGAACTTGATTTGATGATGTCATTTCTATCTTTGCTATTAAATTTCTTTACTTGGGAGCCTTACCAAAGGGAATGAGGGGATGCTCTGCCCTGCCCAGGACTTTTGAAGGGGAGCTGGCTGCCTTAAGGAGTGTCCTCAGCTGGTTTCAGCAAGATGTTTTTTTAAGTTCCTGATTTGACCATGTTACTTTTCTGTTGATATTTATAAAAAACTTGGCAAATACAGCAGACAGTCCTTCTGCAGAGACATTTAATTATGTTTGATTGTAAAGCAAAACTTTATATTATATTGATGGAACTCTCACTGTATATGAAGAAATTATTTCAGACAATTAGAATGTAAACAAGGATGAATGAAGGGATTTAAATGAAGTAAAATTTCTACATTTCATGTCACTTGGTGAAATGCCTCTACTAGGAGACTGGAAAGATGTATGTATACAACATAATGCCTGGAGCTGTTATTTAAAAACCAAATATACTACATATACATTAAATAACTCTGAAAAGTATTCAGGTGACCCATAGACCTTAGAAGAAATCAGAGAAGTGATACATACACACACATACATACATACACACATACACACACACACACACACACACACTCTAAAATGGAGATATAAGATACAAGTCATGAATAATTATTTTAATTTGTGGTTTATGCATATGTGGTATATACACACATGTGGTGTGTGTGTATCTCCTCCAACAAGGCTGCCACAACCCTTAATCCTTCTCAAACAAGTCCACTCCCTGGTGACAAAGCATTCAAATATATGGGCCTATGGAGGCCATTCTCATTTAAACCATTGTAGGTAAACATGTAAAATTCTTTAAATACTAGCTAATATAATTTAACAGTGTATTAAGAATTATGTCACTGAGGCAGCAACCTCCATGGGAGCAGGTAAAAAGGAATAACTGCTGAGGGAGCAGGCCCAAGCCAGACACAACTGTGGGAACTGGCCTGATCCAGTGACCTCTGCTGGAGCAGGCCCAAGGCAGTAACTTCAGGGGGAGCAGCACCAAGCAAGCAACCTCCATAGGAGCAAACCCTAATGACCTCCAGGATTTCAAAACAACACCCGAGAGTGCTAAGCAACCTCCAGGAGCACAGATTTACCTTCGAGGTGACTGTAACCATGGCCCGGAATGGACCACAAGGAGCAACAATTTGAGCCTTGGATCCACTGGCACCTGGAAGATTGATCACCAGAGACACAGACAGCCCCAACTACACTAATCAGATGAAAAGATGGGTGGACAAGGTAAGAACACAACACCACAAAGAGCAACATACTACTATCAAAAACTAGTGGCTCTGCAATAGCGAAACTTGAACACCCAAATATGAATGAAGCAGGGAAAAATGACCTAAAAAAAATAAACTTTAGAAGAATGTTTGAGGCCCTTAAAGAGGGAATGAAAAATTCCCCCCCCCCAAAATGGAGGAAAAGAAAAAAAAAACTAGAGGAAATCAATAAACCCCTTAAAGAAAACTAGAAAAAGCAATCAAACAGATGAAAGAAAAAATTCAAGACTTGAAAACCAAAATAGAGACAATAAAGAAAACAAAAACTGAGGAATTCTGGAAATGGAAAATATGAGAAAAGGAATAGAAACCACAAATACAAGCATAAACAGTAGAATACAAGAGATGGAAGAGAGAATCTCAAGTGCTGGAGATACAATAGAGAAAATAGACTTATTGGCCAAAGAAAACATTAAATCTAACAAAACCTTAACACAAATTATCCAGGAAATACGTGACAACATGAAAAGACCAAACTTAATAACAAGGATAGAAGTAGTCCAACTCAAAAGCACAGAAAATATATTCAACAAAATCATAGAAGAAAACTTTCCTAACCTAAAGAAAGATATGCATATTAAGATACAAGAAGCTTACAGAACACCAAACAGAATGGATAAAAAAAATTCCCTCGACACCTAATAATTTAAACACTAAACACACAGAAGAAAGAATATTAACTACAAAGGAAAAAGCCAAGTAACATAAAGGCAAACCTATCAGAATTACACCTGACTTCTCAATAGAAACAATGAAAGCCAGAAGGTCCTGGTCAAGTATTATGCAGACATTAAGAGACCACAGATGCCAGCCCATACTACTATACCCAGCAAAACTTTCAATCACCATAGATGGACAAAACAAGATATTCCATGATAGATCAGATTTAACCAATATCTAGCCACAAACAGCCATAAACAAAGTACTAGAAGGAAAACTCTAACCCAAGGAAGTTAGCTACATCCACAAAAACACAGACAATATGATCTTACAGCAGCAAGTCCCAAAGAAGGGAAAACCATACACAATAATATCACCAACAATGAAAACTAAAATAACAGGAACTAGCAATCACTGGTCATTAATATCCCTTAATATAAATGGACTCAACTCACCTATAAAAAGATACAGGCAGGCTAACAGACTAGATACAAAACCAGAATCCATCCTTCTGATGCATGCAAGAAACACATCTCAACCTCAAGACGGACATCGCCTCTCTCAGAGTAAAGGATTGGGAAAAAAATTTCCAATCAAATGGACCTAAGAAACAAGCTGGTGTAGTTATTCTATTATCTAACAAATTAAACTTCAAACTAAAATCAAAAGATACAAAGAAAGACATTTCATATTAGTCACAGGAAAAATCCATCAAGAGGAAATCTCAATACTGAATGTCTATGCCCCAAA